TGTTTTACCCACATTCTACTATATAGTTCATATTATACCAGTCTTGTATGATGACCCCGCACATGTTCATTTTAAGGACACTTTCACTGATTTGACAAAACACAAAAGATACCAATGTGAAATTTCTAAAGACAGCACTCAACCCAAGGTTTAAGAATCTGAAGTGCCTTCCAAAATCTGAGAGGGACGAGGTGTGGAGCATGCTTTCAGAAGTCTTAAAAGAGCAACACTCTGATGCAGAAACTACAGGGGAAAAAAATCAACCTTTTGCTGGTGGTATCTGACTCAGATGATGAAAGTGAACATGCGTCGGTCTACACTGCTTTGGATCGCTATCAAGCAGAATCCATCATCAGCATGAATGCATGTCCTCTGGCATGGTGGCTGAAGATGACTCTTTAGCGTATCTGGCACGTAAATATCTTGCGACGTTGGTTACAATAGAGCCATGCGAACATCTGTTCTCATTTTCAGGTGACATTATCAACAAGAAGCAGGCAGCTTTATCTTGTGCAAATGTAAACAAACTTGTTTGTCTGAGGCTAGGTCTACACTATGGGGGGGGATTGATTTAAGATACGCAAATTCAGCTACGCGAATAGCGTAGCTGAATTCAACGTATCCTATTTGACTTACCCCGCTGTGAGGACGGCGGCAAATCGACCGCCGCGGCTCCCCCGTCAACAGTGCTTACTCCTCCTGACGAGGTGGGAGTACGCGTGTCGATTCGGGGATCGATTTATCCGTCTAGATGAGACGCAATAAATCGATCCCTGAGAGATCGATTTCTACCCGCCGATTCAGGAGGGTAGTGTAAACTAGCCCTGAGTGACTGGCTCAACAAGAAATAGGACTGAATGGACTTGTAGGTTCTAAATTTTACATTGTTTTATTTTTGAATGCAGTGATTTTTTTGTACAAATTGGACCTCAGAGACTCAAATTGGGCACCCAGAAAATGAGGAACTCACAATTAGTGGCCACCTATGAAATTTTTGTTTAAGAGGCTTGTTTGCCAGAAGCTGGGAATGAGCGACAGGGGATGGATCACTTGATGATTACCTGTTCTGTCCATTCCCTCTGGGGCACCTGGCATTGGCCACTGTCGGCAGACAGGATACTGGGCTAGATGGACCTTTGGTCTTACCTGGTAGGGCCATTCTTATGTTCTTATGTTATGTTGTTTAGCATCCTATAGGAACTCTATGACAGACACAGGGATAGAAACCAGTTCTCCAGAGCAGCATTCAACAAGCTTAACCATGAGACTCTCCTTTCTCTTCCTGTAGTCCTCTGCTTCATTCACTACATGCCTTCCTGCTTCTGCATCAAATGAAGCGGGGTCCTACAGACAACAGCCTCCTTCACTACACAACCCTGATTCATTCCCAGAGCATGCCTACTCTGTGCACTGGACATGGCAGGAGTCCTGTGGAAAAAATAATATGTGATCATGTAATTAAGATTGTCAGAATGCATATGCACAGCAGGGTTGAATTTAAGATTGCACAAGCAACCATAATTCTGGCATTTCCTAATTTTTGAGCTCTGGATTTTGCAACCTTGATATTCTTTTAGTGCACTGTTTTGTACACTATTTACAAAAAAAAAATTTCTTCCAAAGCCCGTTTAGATCCTCACAGATTTTAGCTTGTCAAAGCAATACCCCAACTACTTTCTTCTTCTGAAATAATTTAAAAACAGTCATGGACTGAGGAAAGGCAGCTGTGAAGTTGTAAAGCATTATTTAAGTGCTCGGGTATTAAGAGCTGACCCTGGTGTCTCTTACTCATCTGAGCAGGACTTACATGCATGAGTAGTGCCATTTGAAGCAAATGGACTGAAGTCAGTGGGACTGTCTGCATGAGTAATGCCTACTTGAATGAGTAAGAGTTTGCAGGATCAGTGTAATGCTTAAGCAAGCACTTGCTGAAACACCATCCATTTTCTCCTCACTCCTACTTTACTATCATCCTGTGTAGATAACATCACTCTCATTTAGAATTGTTTGTGGTGTCAAAATCAAGGTGCATGTGACATCTATGGGAAAAATCATTGCCCATCAAAGGACAGTGTAGGATTAAATGTTAGGACTCTAGCCGAGTAAACATTTCCAAATCCAAAATGAAGCCAGCACTTCTTTTTAACTTTGCCTGAATACCACTTGGGTGCAAAAAATTCTTGTTTTTGGAGGAAATTTTCACATTGGTTCATGTGGAGGAAAAGATGATTTATGACCAAGAAATATGCTTCTAATGGGGGGTGGGAAACAGTTCAAATGTAAAGCCTGGAAGAGTCAGGTCTTAAAAATTTTCTCTGGGAGATGTCTGTTGCTTTCCAGGTTTTCTCTTTCCCGTTATATATTCAGGCCTCCAAGTCCATGGTCAGTTAGGCCATGTCTACACTACCATTTATGTCGGCAAAACATATGTCGTTCAGGGGTGTGAATATTCCAGCCGTCTGAGTGACATAAATTATGCCAGCATAAGAGGTAATGTGCACAGTGCTATGTTGGCGGGAGCGCTTCTCCTGCTGACATAGCTACTGCCGCTCGTTGGGGTGGTGTAATTATGTCAACAGGAGAGCTGCTTTGGTACAGCTGTGCCAGTGTACGCGCTGTACAGTAGACACAGCCTTTCGGTGGTATACCATAACCTTCCTTCATCTAGTGAGCCCAGGACAATTTAGTGCAGCATGCATCAACTCCTAACAGTACTGATGGTGAACCCTCAGTAAACAATAGGTTTTGACTGTGGCACCAATGGTTGCTGGAATTAGTGTCCTGAGCATTCCATGGCTGGATAGCAGGCAACGGCCTACTGGCCCATCAAAGAATTAAGAAAGGTAATATACTATTGGAAAATAACGGAGCACTGATTTGGAAGGTACAAGGTACATCGGAGGAATTCTTTATCATTCTTTTTTGTATCATGAGAATAAGTCATGTTTAATTTCTGCTTGCAAGGCTGACAGGGAAATAGGACTAGAGAATTTTGTATACACGATAATTTTTCCTAACTTTTTTTGGTAAGCAAAAATATATTTGCACTGCTTCATTCAGTATTTTGCTACAGAAAAACTGTAGAAGAATATAAGGCTTAGACAGACTTCTCTGTGAAATTTTGGCATTTTAAATCTTTTTCCACTTTCCCATTTTCTTGCAGTTATTAAAAAAGCCAGAGAGTTGTTGAGCTTTCCAGCCCACAAAATCATTTTACCTCTCTCTCCCTCCTGTCCCATTCATTTCTAGCCATTCTTTTTATGACCAAACACAACCATTTAATATGCTGTAAACATCAAGACTGAGCTATATTTCTCACTCTGCTGCATTTGATTTATGCTTTTTTATCAGCTGTCAGGAAGCTATTGTTTCAGAAACAAGATCCTGTTTTGCAGGTGCAACTTTCCCCTGCAATTAATAGCCTAGCCTATAGATTTCTAACAATTTGATGCATGTTCAGTTACCTCCAGAGTTTCACTCCCAAAAGAGGAGGCTGAGTTGAGGAGCTGTCACAAGACAGAGTTCCCTCACCCTGAATTCCTTACTGCAAACAGTTCTCACACAGAACTCGTGGCAAGTTCAACACCAAATGCTTTATTTACAGTGTGACTACAACAGAACAAGTTTCCCAAAGCTCAAGGTTCTTACATTCTCCCTGTTGTCAGTTGGCATGCCTGTGTGTCTTCTCTACATGTGCTGGAGCCAGCAGACATAGATAGCACTACCCAGAAAAAACACAGACTCGGTTCGGGGGCGAAGGCACTCGGCCAGGTTTATTGCCGACGAAGCACGGGCCTAGCTCCCTGGATCCGTGTCTACAGGTATGTTAACACATGTATGCCCGTGATAATTGACTCAGCTCAGTCAGCAGCAGGACTTTCTGCTGCCCCCTTGGCTGGACAAAGGTGCCCCTTCTTTGATTTCTCTTTTATACATTGATGCAAATAAGTTATGTATTACAATTCAGATGTATTACCAACATGTTATCGACACTAAACCTTGTACCTGCTGGTTCAAACAAACATCTCCACCCATCATTCTGTCCTCCTATCCTTGTCTTTACTGGGGGTCGGTGTGTTCCTGTACCATCTCCCAGGATTTTGTTTATACTATAACTCTATGTTGGGGTGAACCTGTACTAGCCTTTATGAATACCCAGTGCCCAGTACTTCTTAGGAGCATCTGTGTTTTAGCAATGTCAGACATGTTTTTGCCAAGTTCATGTACCAGACAGTGAATTTGTAAGCAGGCATTTGCTTTATCATGGGGCTTGACTTTGGCTCATAACATGGCTTGGCTTTGCTAACTGTGCTTCAGGCCTCAGGTCTTTCACCAGGTCCCATGCTCCAGGGTCTCTCTCTCTACTACACTCCCTAGGCATAGGGTGGTGGTGGGGAGAAGAGATCTTACCTTTTTGAGACCCTGGGCTTCTCAGGCCCTCCCTTGCAGCCTACCCCTCTCCTCTCTTCGTCTCTCTCTTTTAGCTGTTCTCAGCTGATGAGATGAGCCACCTGGTAAATTGGTTAATCATTTAGTCTTTAGCCAATTATCCCCCTAATTTGCCTCATGTAAGGATGCTTACTAAGTGGTGAGTCAGCCTAAGATTACTCACACTCTGTCACAGCCCCTTTAAAAAAAGTTGGCTCTTAAAGATATAAGTAATTGAATGTTTAAGTTACAGGCGTAAAACTGAATTCTAAATAAGGTAAAGTAATGCAATCGTCAAGGGGAAAGGATTATTTTAAAGAGATAGTCACTGGTTAATAGCATAGGCCTGTTTGCTGCAATTCTGGCTAACAGAAGGTCAGTCATATCCCTCAACAGAAATGTGCACAATCTTTTATTCCCCTGTTTATCCAAAACCTCTTTTTCATGTCGATTTAAGAGGTCTTCCTGTAGGAAAAATAGGGTAGCAGCATATCTGTAAATAAACCTCCCCCTACCATATAGGTAGTTGATTATATTATGAAAAAAACACTATGTTTTAAAATTCATGGTAATTTTAGATCCTTTTATTCTTATTTTGTTGCAAAACTGTTTTTGTCATAAATTCCCATTAATGAAAAATGTTGAAGTAAAACAAGGCACATCAAGCTCCATATAAATGGCCAAAACACTCTCCGATAGCTGCCTTCCTCCCAGAGTTTTTCTTATAGTCTTTGCATATAGATAACTGGTTCTTGAGTGAGGACATACCTCATTCTCTGCCCTCTTCACACCATCTTCTGAATTATATTTCCGGAGGAAACCACACTGACACTTTGTTCACTGGCCAACATCCAGAAAACAAAATCTTATTACATTGGATTCCATGTTGAAGTGGACACTTATCAAACAGCAGTATTTAGCTTTCTTGTGGAGTTGGTAGCATTCACTGCATAGAGAATGAGAAATACTGCAATGACAGAAAAAATTAGCCACTATGATTGTACAGTTTTTAAGGACAATGACCATACAAATTTGATTAATTCCACAACATTTTAAGTTAAAAGGAGGATGAAACTTTTACTGGAAACATTTCTAATGCACTTTACAAACCAATGGAGATATCATGCTCTGCAGTGGATGGGGTGTATGTGGAGCTAAACCGTTCTAATTTATCACCATGAAGAGCTGGACAGTGTTTGCAGAGGTAGATTGCAATGTCTTTTTGGAAAAAGGTATAAAGATATTTCCTAAACTTTTCACCAGCGAAGGCATAGATCACAGGGTTGATACAACAGTGGAACATTGCAATAGCTTCTGTCACTTGGATTGCTATCTCCAGCTGACTGCTGCCCTCACAGGTATTTAGGGAAAATGAATCTTGAAACGTGTATATGAGAACAACAATGTTGTATGGTGTCCAGAAGATAAAATAAACAATCATTAGGATAAAAATAAGCCTGACTGCCTTATGTTTTTTCTCATTCCTACGTCTCAGTAATATTTTTATAATTTCTATGTAGCAGAAGATCATAATGACAAATGGAATGACAAGTCCCAGGATGTTCATCTTTAAAATCAGGAATTGCCTCCATTCTTTTTCATAATTTGATGGATAATGAGAGCTGCAAGTCCAGCGAGGACCTTCCTTTTGAACACTATGAAATATAAACCCTGGAAGAGAGGCTAATATTGCAATACCCCAAATGACAACACTTGTGAGGATGCCATAGGTAACTGTCCTAGCTTTTAAAGCAAACACTGCATGGACAATGGCCAGATATCTATCTATTGTCAAAAGTATTATGAAAAACATTCCACTGTAGAAGCCAGCAAAATAGACCCCTCGAAAGAATTTTACACATTGCATTTCCAAAATCCCACTCACGTGCTATGTAGTAAGCCCAAAATGGCAGGGAAAAAATAAAAAGCAAATCGGAAATTGCCAGATTCAGCAGATAGATGTCAGTCATGCTTCTCAGCTTCTTGTATTTTATCAGGATCAGCACAACGAGCACATTGCCCACCAGGCCAAATATCAGCACCAAGGAATAAAGCGGTGGCACAAAGTGGGATGCAAATTGTTTGACATTATTTGAACATGGTGCTGCATCAAACTGTTCATAGTAATACGTTGTTGTCTGTATCTCCATCTCCGGTTCACTGGTGGAAGTGTTCATTTTGCACTGGCCTAAGAATGAAGAAATGGATGATTATTTACAGGGTACTGTATAGTATCACAGTGAAACACAGGAATGAAATACATTGTATTATATAATCATATGTTTGTACCAGCCATTAAAATGTACTGTGAGTGTTGATTTTCACTTTAGAATACCCTTTGCTGTAAGCAGGATAACTGCTGATGTTAAGAGGTAAAAACAAAATTGCAGATCACGTTAACAACTAATTTAGAATTAACTTGCTGTTTGAACTTGCTAAATATTGTTTCCCACTTGTACTATGTATGAGAAGTGTTTGTCTTCAGTAAACCATGTGGCACCATAACACAGGTGAAAACTAATTGCCGACTGACTAATAGCAGAGGCAGCTAGTTCCGAGCTGGGATGCTAGGAAGGTGGAATAAGTGGTTTTCAGAAGTGTTAGAATGAACCAAAAAGAGAGCAACAGAAAAGAAGAGAAAACAGTTAATATTTTTCAGCTTTCTGAACCACATTCAGATATCACTAGCCCACATCAAAGCAATAAGCCACGAGTGTGTGCGCACTGGTCGGCTCTGGGTGCAGAACATCTAAGTAGCATTCCACAGGCAAAAATGTGCAAAATATTGTTTGTTGAAAATTATTTGTCTACTTCTAATGCTTATTCTTTCAACAAGTTCTTAAATTTCTCATGTAAAAGGACTTCTCTGTACTTCTGTATTTGGTTTCCATTGGCTCAGGAAAAAATAAGGGCCTGGCACTAGGGTCCATTTATCCCACTATGGCAATATAAAGTGGCCTTAATATCAATGTAAATTTATACCCAATTTTATAGTATCAGAGTGGATTAAAGGGGCCCTTGTGTAAATGAGAATAAGGCCTGTACTCTTTAGTTAAGAAAATTGTTCCTCTTTGTCTTTAGGACTTATTTTCATTTACACCCAGGTGACTTTAAACTGCTGTTGTCATGCAAAGGAGCCTTGAAGAAAGTGAGTATATATATATACTTTAAGGACCTTTTACATCATCAGAGCAATGTCAAGTGGCCTTTCTGTAAATGAGAATCAGGCTCTCTTTTTGTTCTTGTTTTTGAGATAATCTCCTTGTATACAACAAATAGCTGATTTACCTGTTAACTGGGAAAATGTGGAAGAGGAGATTAGACAACCAGAACCTATGCTGTGGAGATTAGACAACCAGAACCTCTCTTGCAGTTCAGAACAAATCCAAACAGTGAAAAATGTTTATATGTAGACTTTGAATGAAAACCGATCACTGTTCTCTAGCATCCAAGGAATATTCACCATGTTGTGCTCAGCTGCTAACCTGCAAGAGAATTCACAATATATAAATTGATATTCAAACTCCTCCCTGAATGACATCTAATTATTTAGAAACGATCATATTTTCTGTGTCATATTCTTGTATTTTAAATCTTTTGTTTAAAAAAATACTCTTACAATGTCCATTTGAATGTATCCATAGTTAGGATTGATTATCTTGTTCTAATTACTGGATTCTGCTGACATTTAATACTAGATTATAATGAGCCACTTGATTTAAGATTTTATTTTGTCTTATTGCAATGGCCTTTTGCCTGAACGCTAACATGTTATTCCTTCAATATCAGAAATGCCTACTCTCTGGGGTATGAAAGTTGGTTGGAGTTAATGATTTAATAGATCTTTTCCATTAGTAACACCAGAGCTAGGAAAACTGTTAGCAGCTGTTTGCAAATTATTTGTGAACAAGTTTTGCTATTTAAATATATTTAAATAAATAAAATAAATAAATAATATTCGTTATTGAAAAATATTCAAAAGTTTTATACAAAATATTTCAACCTATGGATTTTTCATGAATTATTCACTACGAGTATAGCTTTGAATATTCATTATTTATAATTAAGGATTTGTACTGTGCAATTGGTCACGTAAGTCACATGATATTGTTTCCTCTCCTTGCTCAGATGACTGCAACTTTTCTAAACAGGAGGGTTTGACTAAGGCCTTTCCATTGTGTACTGTGGTGTGGATGCATCTACACCAGTTTCTGCGAACATTCTTGCAAACCAAACAACTCATACAAATGTTTACAGAAAACAAATTTAAAGGTTGTAAATACTGAGGCATCTTTCATGATTGAGTAAAGGCTACAAACATTCTTGCCTTGTAGCGTTTTGAATGACTGTACTATATTTGAGAAAAGACAGAAGTTTTGGGTGTGATGTTTGCCACCTCATCTGCAATGACAGTTTCAGTGGAGGAGCAAAGTACACAAAACTCTCGGTGGTGATAGTTAATACTGCACACATCTTTTGTTGTGTTTTCCCTGCTAGGTTGGAGTTCAGCTTTGTGGCTGTACAATCTTTCAGGAGGTGATTTGCTGCACAGTTCCCCAGTGACGTTGTGGCACCATCTGCGTGCATCAAGAGGAACTCTTCATTCAGTGCTTAATTCATGTCCCTGTCTCGCTGATGGTTAAACATTGTACAGCCTCTGGTTTGCTTGGCCTGTTTAACCAAAAATATATTACTTACAAATAAATCCCACAATAAAAGAACATTAAGGCTGCAAAGTCTTGCACTGTAAAGTCAGGAAATGTCAGAATGAAGGTTGCCAGTTAGTTAACGCACTCAGCTACAAAGTGGCTCATAGAACTCAGAGCCCTAAGGTAGGTCTGTGACATACTGGGGCACAATCCAGATTAATGAGTAGCTGTGTCACTCCTGCCTGTAACCTGGGGTGCCCTTTTCAATACCTTGCTACTGTAGCCACTGAACTGGACTGCTCACAAACAGCCACCGGCATGTAAATCACTCACAGGCATGTCTATTTCTGCTGCAGCCAGTCAGCCGCACCTTGGCTCTTACCAGCTTTAAAGATTACCCCAGGCTGACCGCAACACACTCCCAGTCCCAGATTTCCCCCCAGAAATGTATGTCCTGTATTGCCCAGTGCTCTCCTGGATAGTACAACTATATTAAGTCAATTATTCCTCTAAGGGAATAATATCCCAATTTATTACCTTAAATAGTTATCCAGACACTTTAATTTAAACACACTGGATTAGATAAAACAGTAAAACAAATTTATTAACTACAAAGAGAGACATTTTAAGTGAGTACAAGTAATAAGGCATAAAATAGTTACAAGAAAAATAAAGATAAAATGCTTACTGGTATCTACTTAAGAAACAATACTATACTTATCATTTAATACGTGGCCCCATGTTTTATTTATTGTGCACCGTCCAAGCCCTGCATTGAACACATAATTAATAATTTCCTAAGACTTTTTATGGTGCTCATCACTAGACCATCTGAGTGCCTCGCAAACAGTAATAGGTTTATCTTCAAAACATCTCTTTGAGGTAAAGGATATTATCCTCATTTTACAAATGAGGAACTCAGACATAGAAAGATTAAGATAAATAATATCCACTCATTTTGTGTGCTGAATTTGAGATCTTTAGGGCTGATTTTTCAGACCATTTAGCAATATGTAACACTTCAAAGCAGAGCTCCCATTGATTTCAGTTGCAGTTGTGTGTGCTCAGCACTTCTGCAAATCAGATCCTGGGGTCTCAAGCTGGGTACCCAGAAAAAATAACACACTTAGTGATCTCTTGTGAAAAGTCTGATTTATGTGACTTGTCAAGAATCCCATAAGAACACTGTGGCAGAACTGTCTGTAAGATATAATCAGAAGAACATTGTGACCATGCTTTTGTTCTGAACGTGTCATTTCATTTCAGAAGCTTCAGTGTTTCCTATTCTCATGATGCTTTACAATTGATGTTCGTAATGTGAAATCCAAAATCGTTCTGTGTGTAAGTCCAATGGACCCATTCAGGCTTCTTCATGCAGAGCTAGCCTACCATTCAAGAGATCTGAGTTTTCACGTGTCTTAGTTTCTGAGCATACTGATGAGATGAGTTTCCAGGGGTTCCATAATAGTGCTCACAGATAAATTTGCTAATAGGGTGAGTTTTGAGGGTGCCCTGTGCCTGAGCTTGCTAGTAGGAGCTTTCAGGGTCCCCTATACCTGAATTTGCTGGCAAGGCAAAAGAGTAAATTTTGAGGGTTGCCCTTACCCCCAAAATTACTATGCGCCAACATTTTCTTATTTATTTTTTTAAAAAGAATTCCTTCAGCCCTTTGGTTTCCCCCCCCAACCAGCTTCAGTGATAATGAGGATGTGGGACAATCACCTCAATTGTCTCTCTCCTCAATCTGCATTCAAGGATGACTGATGAGTTTGAAAGAGTTGGATGAATCTCCAAACATTCACCAGACTGAGATAACAGGTGGGAATAAGTTTTGAGATCCCATTTTTGTAGCTGAGGGGCGTCTACTGCTTCAGGTAGAAAAGCAGGATTGGGTGACCCAGAGCACTGAATGGCACATTAAGAAACTTAAGGCTCTGAGCTGAAGCCTAATGAAGTCAATAGGAGCTTGTCCATTAACTTCCGTGAACTATATATTTCCACCAAATGAAGAGGGGCTACTTCTCTTGTAGCTTTTTGTGCTAAACTCTACCATAGTCACCTGTTTTCCCACAATTGCAGCAGAATCAGGCTCTCTTCTTCTCAATATGTGAAGAGGCTGATAGATGGCAATCTCATGTAGCTTTTCTCTTATGAACTACTACATAGAACAAAAATCTAACACCAAACAAACCAACAAAAACTGACATATGAAACGTTCTGCTTTTAGGCTGCTGGTGTCAAAATTTGTTCTATGCAGTGTTCTTGTAGCCAAGTCGGTCCAGGATATTAGAGTGACAGATAGAAGTTGGTCCAATAAAATATATTACCTGACCCACCTTGTATCAAAATTTAGTAGAAGTGTTCCCTAATTCAGAATCCAATTTTGTCTGCCTCAGCATTTTATTATACTTTGTGTACAGTTGCTCTCACTTTAAAGTCTGTCAGGGTTGTCTACAGAAGCGACTCTACTGAAGCATGCAGGATAACCAGAGCCTGTCTGCCATGAAAAGAGATAAACCATTGAGAAGTAAAGGAGAAGGGGGGCAGAAATCAAGTACTTGGGAGAAAGTTCCATCCCCCAACACCAATCTTAAAATCTGTCTGGAAAATTTCACTATGTGAAGACCCTGTTTAGTAGGGATGATAATGTCCATCTCTCAGCCTGTTTTGTGTTTAGAGATAGCTCTGTTGTGAGAACGCATTGGTGACAGTTCCCCTTCTCTGGATCATGTAACCTTCATATGGTGGAGATTCAGAGGGTATGTTTTTTGAGGAAATTTTGACAAAAGCAGAGCTCTAGTATCAAGATCCTTCTCATAAGAACATAAGAATGGCTCTACTGGGTCAGACCAAAGGTCCATCTAGCCCAGTATCCTGTCTTCTGAAATTGGCCAATGCCAGATTCCCCAGGAGGAATGAACAGAACAGATAATCATCAAGTGATCCATTCCATGTTGCTCATTTCCAGCTTCTGGCAAACAGACACTAAGGACACCATCCCTGCCCATCCTGGCTAATAGCCATTTATGGACCTATGCTCCATGAATTTATCTAGTTCTTTTTTTTACCCTGTTATAGTCTTGGCCTTCACAACATCCTCTGGCAAAGAGTTCCACAGGTTGACTGTGCATTGTGTGAAGAAATACTTACTTTTGTTTGTTTTAAACCTGCTGCCTATTAATTTCATTTGGTGACCCCTGGTTCTTGTGTTATGAGAAGGAGTAAATAACACTTCCTTATTTAATTTCTCCACACCAGTAATAATTTTATAGACCTCAATCATATCCCCCCTTAGTTGTCTTTTTTACAAGCTGAAAAGTCCCAGTCTTATCAATCTCTCCTCATACGGAAGCTGTTCCATACCCCTAATCATTTTTGTTGCCCTTTTCTCTCAAACACTGTCTCCAAGGCTAAACCACAACTGCTTCTATCTTATATGCAAATCAAATGTGGGTGAGTAGACAAATGCATGCAATAAAGCAGTTATTTTCAACCTGTGGTCCGCAGACTTCGTCTAAGATTTTCCTCCATCTGAAATTTTTAGGGGTCCACAAATGAAAAAAACTTGAAAACCACTGCAATAAAGTATCAACTTTTTGCAATGAGTACAAAACTAGAAACATATTCTCTAAAATACCTGCAGGAAATGTATTCCTCTCATCCAAACAGACATTCTTAGTTAAGAAAGATTCCAAGGAGTAGGATCTTCTAAACAAATTGCAAAGGAAATCACTATTTGCATGTATTTTTTAAGAAATTGAGTCTAATAATTATTTCTGCTTGTGTACATTCAGAGAAGAAGAGTGTTCAGCTCTTGAAAAG